TATTTTTTCTCACATTTTCCGTTTATTTTAAATGAATGTACACCATTCATTAACCTTATTGTTTTTAGCTAATTGCATCATTTCCCCGGGGTTTCTTTATTTACAAATTTACAGCAGTATGATATTCTTAGCAAAGACAAAGATATAAATCCTGGGAAATCTATATAACACATTTCAGTAAAAAATGTGCCTGATAAAATGTTGAAAGGGTCATTTATTTTGCTTATCCAAAAAGTTTATCATTTGCCACCTGAACCATCTTTTTCATCTGTTGCTTTTTTGCAATAAGTACAGTTATAGTGAATTAGTATTTTATATGGAAGTACAATACTACATTGTTTACATTTTGCTACTCTTATGACAAATTATTTCACATTATTCAGGAAACAAACATCTTACATTTCTCTGATACCATTATTTAAACATTATTAAATTCATGTTTGCCTTTTCTAAAGAAGTATGAAAGATTTCCCATTAAAAAAGCCTCTCGCGAACGGTTGTTACGGAGCTTACAAAAAAAAAAAAACTTAAGTTTGTTGATAAGCTTAATAATGTATTTGTAAAAATCACTATCTATAGTCCGATCGACAAACTTGATATTTCACCAAAACATTGCAACAGAGTATATTTATGGTTCTTTGGAAAAAAATATTAACTGCAATTTATCTAAATGCATTATATTTGAATAATATCAAGGTATTAAGTAGACGCAAAAATGTGCCCTGAATGATAGTATAGTAAATGGGGATTTTAAATGATCTTGATCAGTTAGTGAAGAACTTTCATATTTAAAATGGGGCTCAATATGGCACCAAAAGTTATGAAGTAATTGACTGACAGAACATGATATTTTTCGCAGCATCTATTAATTTTAAAAATACATTTACAGTTTATGTACTAGTCTTTGTTATATGGACACTTTTTTTCAGATATTTCAAGTGGTAAAATTTACGAAACTTTTATCACTTAAACATCAAACAAAGTATCGACCGTCATCTTGAACTTCACATTAAAATATTTCAATGTCGCAAATCGAAAATAAGTCAGTACTCAGTATTTAAGCAGATCTCAGTTGACACCTTCAAGTCCTCTCCAGTAAATGAAATTTTCAAGATAAAGATACAAAAATGTTGCAGTTAGATGAAAGATTCATCACTTATCACCGTTATTGACAAGTTTTTGCTCATAACCATCATACTTGCTATTTGTAAAGTTTATAATTCTGTAAAGAATTTAAATTGCTACTATCTCGTGTTATAGTCTTGGTTGAAATAGTACATTCTATAATTCTAAAATTCTATATTTGTACCATAATAAATATTACAACGTTATTGCTGCTGTTTCACTGCTGAGGCATAAATCTTTTATAGCTTGCAATAAAGTCGAGAACAATGTCTGTAAAACAAAATATTACGCCTGAGCCTAAACTAATTTTGCAGTTGTGTATCTCCATCAATTTGAAGTATAATAAGAAACATTATTTCAAGAAAGTAGGCATACATTAAATATTGAAGCATTAATACAGGTCTGGGGTGTGAGTAATACTATGCTGCTTACGTAAAAACTCGTCATTTTACCAACCTAACAACAGAGTAGTGGTCAAAGACGTCTTTAATATACTTTATGTTAACACGTTTTTATGTACCGTATGCTCGGCGTTAAATGTCAAATTTTCAAGGAATTCGCAACACATATATCGTTATCGTGTTTCTTTTACTTCCTATAAGTCTTATATGAGCGTTAATACATTGATGTTACAAACAATTTTATCAGATTCGTAAGGCTTTGTTACACTTCAGTTTTATCAATGATCACCATTTAACCCTCTTGAAACCCTAATAAAATATGATATTGATATGATTTTCATCCGTGCTTTCTAGTTTTAGTCCTTATAAAATTAAAAAAAAAAATTGTACAATGAAAGTAAATAACCGACTTTAACCTTAAATTCCTTAAATGGATGTATTCGAAATAAGACATGTAGTATGCTGTTATTAAAGTTACCTTCTAGGATAAGATAGCTTTTGTATTAATGGTTTTACATTTTCATACTTATGTGTGTAACTATTTTTAATCTAGCTGATGCCTGTTTAGATAAGTTCTAAACACAGCACATTAAAATGCACCAAAGCCCGAAAAATTACTTTAATTTGATTTTATTTTGAAAATTATTTAATTTATGATGTCCTGTTTAAGACAGTTACTCACTTGCTTTGATATGGTATACATAAGATAAAAATTCCATGGGGAACATTGGCCTGCGTGTTTAACGTCATAAGGCCAAAACAAAATGATCTTGAGGTTCTGGTAACATGCTTAACAATAATAGGGTAGGTAGGTCGGAAAATTGTTTTTTTTTTAATTAGAATTTTATTAAAATTTAACTGTATATCAGATATATACACTAAAGGATACTCCATTTTTGCAATAAAATGTTCTAGGTAAGGTATGGAAATACAGGGTCGGTCATATAACTTGAACCACAACATCATTTTGTTTTGGCCTAATCTCGCGAGAATTCTCATTTAATGGTTTTTAAACATGAAAAAATATAAGTATATAATTATGTTGAAAAAAAAATGAAAAAGAAATGCTTTTATTTAGACACGTGACTAAAGTTCTCGCTTAAGAAAAACGACATCCAATGAAAATGCGTTATTTACACCACGTGATTTACACACGCATCGAGGTATGCCTAAAATACGAAAGTGACTTTTTCTGACGAAAGTGAGCGAAAGTGACTTTAAAAATATGGATTATAGCGTTTTAATATAATTTTACAATAAAATTGCAGTTTGCAGACGATTAATATTAGAAACTTATTATATTTTAAATGTTGTTCTTTTTTGTCAGAAAGTGTCAAAACATTATTATTGTAAAGTATATGTCTCTGCCATAATTTGAGCCATTTTGAATATTACACTCGGCTAGGCAATGACAAAATTACATCAAACTGATTTATGAATGATGTTTGATCTAAAAGAAACTCTACTTTTCAAGTTTGCCCAAATTTATTCCCGGTAAGTTTCAGGTATTATTTGACATGTCGGTAGAAAATCAAAGCTGAAATAGACTGATAACTAAAATTACAATCGCAATACAATGATAAAATTTACATAGTTAAAGTCTATTCAATTCACTTGATCACCAAATACCATCTCAATCTCATTGTTTGGTAAGAGTAATGACAGTCTGACTGTTATATGTATGAACGCTGTTGAAGAATAATTTGGGCATACATGTATTAATGTAACCTATGGGAAATAATGGTAGTTATGCATGTTTTCAAAACCTTTACCAGTCATCAGCCAGAATGATATGTGAAAAAAAAACAACGACTGAAAAGGCAGTTTTTAATTTATTGTCGAAATTCTAGTGCTGTTTGAATGTTTAAATAGCAGCAAACAATATTTTATTGTTTGTTACAGTATTTGTATTTCCGTTAAATCAAACACATAGACTTAAAATGGCAATCATGAGATTTATTATATGAAAAGCATCTATAAAATAATTACTTCATACACTTTTAAAAAAATGTGTTGTTGTCTGTTGTGTGTGGGGGATGGGGTAGGGGTTTGAGTTGGTAATTTCATTTCATCGAGTAAGCTACTAAAATAGTATTCTCACTAATGAAATAACAATGCATGATACACCGAAACTAACAAACAACTATTATCCATATAATCAGACGTAACAATACTTTTAAACTATCTCAGACATTAGCCTCTTAATGTTAAAGATTGAATTTGTCATATCATAGACTTAGACACTGGTCATTTTAAGAAATTTCACTGTTGAGCTGTAACATATGTTTTAGCATTATGTTTCCATAAACGCTCAAAGACATGTACAACATTTAAGTTTTATTACTAAGCCCGGGAGCTTTATGATTCTCGTAGAAGCAAAAACCGACAGTACATGGTTTTGAAAAATGTGTTGACTACACTTAAAGTTATATATCTCCTGTAAAATGTTTACAAAATAATACTGCCAAATATTTTTATGAAATAAATAGTATAATAAAATGCCTTAAAATCGAATGGTACATGAAAGAAATCATTGTTAAACGATAATACCCTACTTCAAATGGCAGAAAAATATTTGGTCCGTGACATTTGTTTTTACTTGTTTACGCACAATTCCATGCAGATTTCTGGTTGCTATGACGACCTAAAGAAAAAAAATAGATACCTTCTTTTAAAAGACACAAAGAGCTAGAGCTTAGATATTTGGCATGAGTCATCTTCTAGTAGGTGTCTACCAAGTGTTTTAAATAAAAGCCCCGGAGTCAAAATTTCCCCCAAGGGGTCATTGATTTTCCCTATATGCATATAGTAAAAACTTAAAAAATCTTCTTTTAAAGAACCCAAAGAGCTAGAGCTAATATATTTTGCATGAAACATCTTCTTATGGTTGTCTACCAAGTTTGTTCAAATAAAAGCCCTGGGGTCGAAATTGGCCCCGCCCCAGGGGTGCATTGTTTTTAACTATATGTGTATAGTAAAAACTTAAGAAATCTTCTTTTAAAAAACCCAAAGAGTTAGAGTTTAGATATTAAGCTAGAAACACCATCGAGTGAGTGTCTACCAAGTTTGTTCAAATAAAAACCCTGGGGTTAAAAATTGGAGCCACGGGGTGGGGGTCATTGTTTCTCGCTATATGTGTGTAGTATAATCTTAAAATCTTCTTTTAGAAAACTCAAAGAGCTAGAGCTTAGATATTTAGCATAACACATCTTTTAATGGGTGTGTACCAAGTTTGTCCAAATAAAAGCCCTGTTAAAACATACTTAAAATCTTGTAAATGGTTAAACCGATAATCATTCGAAAAGTAGTTTTCGTGTTATCTCCAGAACCTCATTGGTTGGTGAAAGAATTAAAGATTTACTACCCGTCAGCAGTCAGGAGCTTTTAAAGTGGCAATGGTGCTTATACTGATATGTAAATAAGTCGTAAAATATGCGGAGGTATTGCAATAAAAAATATTTATGAAATAACCTAAATCATAGAGGAAGTCGTAAAATAAAGTATTTGTTAAAGCAGGTTAAAGTCCTGCATTAGGATACTTCAACTTACTAAAGAAAGCGGGGTATTAGGTAAAATTACATTTTTCTATTGCTTTTATACAATAATTATATATAATATTGCCTTTGCTTTTGCCGTCTGTCTGTCCGTACGAATGAAAATGTTTAGCGTTCACAACGTACCAAGAATATTTTTCTCTTGTTACATATATGCGAGCAATATTTGTGTTCATTGAATACATTTTTGTAAAACAATTCAAATATGGATCGGTTGGAGATCCATTTCATTGTGTTTATATTAGCTTAAAATACTTACAAAAGATAAAAAGAAAACAAAACAGTGAAAATCGGGTTATGATAATGAAATTCGTTTTGGAAAAAAGAAGAATTATTGCATATGAAAAGCTTTGTATATAAATTTGCTGACATTAATAATACTTTTAACAGAGTCTAAATTCATAAGTGAGATAAATCTTTGCTTTGTAGGCCAATGGCAAAAATATGGATTGAAGTAGGTTTTTCTTAAGTTAGTAATTTTTGGGCATACTAAAAGAAAGGGGTACTCCTTTTCTATAACATTCATATTACAATTTGAACACATTCTTTCATTTTTGGGAATATTTAATTGTCTTCCTTTTTCAATCATTAGATCATGAGATGATAGTCGGAATCTTGTTAGTGCTTTTTCTAAATTTACTATTTGGTATTACATCTAGCTATCGTTCTACATTTAATTCTTTCCTATACCAGCTATATGACTGTAATCTATTTGAAGTTCTCATTTCAGCAGCCCATGAGTGTTTATATATATTAATTATTCTTCGTTTTATAGTTTGTAAAGATACGAGATCAGCATTTTGGTATAACCAAATGTTTGTCGAAAACTTGTTGAACATGTCCGACTCAATTAATACCATTACAGTTATTACCATTTATAAAATCATCTTTAAGCATATTGTATGTCATTTTAATTAATGTATTATCATCTGTTTCCAAAATCTTATTAAATTTATTTTACGCTGTATCATCATAGAGGTACTGTTCGAAATTATTGTTGGATTTGAATGATTAGTATGTCAGACCTTTCGAAGAACCTGTAAGTGAACTTTTCCAGTTTTGCAAGAATTGGTCAATTAATGCACGTTTTATTGTCATACTGAAATTTTTAAGATTGATATTCATTTGGTTTTCCTATATGTATGTGTTACCGGTATTATTTTAAATTTGTTTTATTCACTGTAATCATTTAAAACTTGTATTAGAATTGAGCATTATATCATAACATACTTTAGAAATTTAATTTCTGTTATCCATAACTAATTTACACCAATAATTTACCATCCTTGATTTAACGACTATGTCCATTGGATAGCACCCAAGCTATGTAATGGTGTACTTTTTTGCTTTTAGTAATAGTTCTTAAGAAGTTATTTTGTACCGTTTCAATTAATTCTAGATTTTCGAATCCCCAAACTTCGCAGTTAAACTAAAGTATAGGAACAATAGTTTGGTCAAATAATTTCAACTCTAAATCAATTGGGAAATCAAGATTAAATATTTTCGAATAAAATATATGCATTGCTTTATTTGCTTGATTTACTAATTTTTTTCTAGCCTTAAGTTAACTTCCAGAACATGAGAAAAGTACTCCTAAGTATTTATATTCCTTAATTATTTTGATAATGTTTTCTGTCTTCAAGCTATGGTGCAAAAATATCTTTCCAAAAAAGGGGGTAGATTTTACTGCTTGTATATTGATTTCCGTAAGGCTTTTGATAAGATTTACCATGAGATCCTTTTTCAAGCTTTACAAAGAAAAGGAATAAATGGAAGATTTTTGTTTTTATTAAAGAAAATGTATTATTCGCTCTATTCATGTGTAAAGGTTCGAAGTACTTTCTGTTGTGATTTAAATACACGAAATAGTTCTAAAAATAGGCCTATGATAACTGAATTTTTCAAATGTAACATAGCAACCCGACAGGGAGACAAATCCAGTTCGACAATTTTTGCTCTCTTTATTGATGAATTAGCACATATGCTTCGCGATAAATGTAACTCTGGGATTTTAATTACACAAGAAATTCACGATATTGTTTGCCTCATGTTTGCTGATGATGTTGCAAGTTGCGCTGAAACGGCAGTTAAATTACAACAACAATTAAATGTTGTCGATGAATTTTGTAAAAATACAGGGATGGAAGTAAATTTAAAAAAAAAACTGAAATTATGGTTTTTAGAAATGGAGGACCGCTCATACAATATGAAAATTGGCATTTTCGAGGTAATACATGTACTATCAATGTTATTTCCGTTTACAAATATATGGGACTTTTATTTACACCAGGGCTATCGTGGAGTGTAGCACAGAAAAATTATATGCACAAGCACAACGTGCAATACTTTTTATTTATTGTTATAAGAAACCATATTGTTCTTTTCCAAAAAATGAAATTTTGATTTTGTTAAACCTATCTTATGCTATGGGTCACAGATATGGGGAAACGAATTTGTTGATTTTAACAAAAGTGTAAGAAGAACAACAAATATATGCATAGTTTTAGGAGAACATGAACGTTTGCCATTGTGTATAACTTATATTGTTAATTGTATAAAGTACTGGTGTAAATTGTTGAATATGCCAGATCACAATGTTATAATATGTTGAAGTCCCTAGATGAGATCAGTCGAAATTGTTTGGCTCACTACTTTATACTTATGGTTTTGGATATGTATAGCTTGCATAAGACATTGGAAATGTAGACATATTTATCTTAACTTTTCATCAACGACTGAAAGATTGTTTTGAACAAAAATGGCATAATGATATAAATACTGCGTCCCGTTGTTACCATTATAAATTTTTAAAGAGTCAATTTAACCCTGAACGTTTTCTTTACTGTGATATTCCAAGTAAATATATGGTTGCTCTTGCAAGGTTTCGATGTTCCTGTCACAAATTAACGGTTGAAATGGGAAGACAAAATAATATACCACTTCATGAAAAGAATATGTTTACTTTGTTTTAACCAAAATAATTTAATTGCTATTGATTGTGAATTTCATGCTTTTTTATGCCACCGCAGCATCTGCGATGCAGTGACATATAACGATTCACCTGTGTGTGTGTTTGTGTGTTATATAGATTGTATAGTGAACTTAAAAAATCTTCTTGTGAAAAACCACTTGTCCAATTTCAACCAAATTTGGCAGGATTGATCCTTGGGTAAAGGGCTACCAAAGTTGTTCAAAGAATTTCATTCCATGCTGAAATCTGGTTGCCATGGCAACCAAAAGTAATTATAAGAATAAATTCAAAAAATCTTCTTGTAAAGACCCAAAAGGCCTAGAGCTTAGATATTTTGCATAAGGCATTATCTGGTATACCTCTACCAAGATTGTTCAAATTATAGCCCTGGAGTCAAAATAGGCCCCGCCCCGGGGGTCATTGGTTTTCACTATATGTACATAAAGTAAAAACTTAAAATACCTTCTTGTACAGACCCAAAAAGCCTAAAGCTTAGATATTTTGCATAAGGCATTGTCTGGTAGACCCTTACCAAGATTGTTCAAATTATAGCCCTGGGATCAAAATTGTCCCCGCCCCGGGGTCATTGATTTTCACGATATGTACATATAGTAAAAACTTAAAATACCTTCCTGTTAAGACCCAAAAGGCCTAGAGCTGAGATATTTTGCATAAGGCATTGTTTTGTAGACCATTTACCCAAATTGTTCAAACTATAGCCCTGGGATCAAAATTGGCACCGCCCCGGGGGTCATTGATTTTCACTTTATGTACATATAGTAAAAACTTAAAATACCTTCCTGTTAAGACCCAAAAGGCCTAGAGCTTAGATATTTTGCATAAGGCATTGTCTTGTAGACCTCTACCCAAATTGTTCAAATTATAGCCCTGGGGTCAAAATCGGCCCCGCCCTCGGGGTCATTGGTTTTCCTTATATGTATTTAGTAAAAACTTATAGTAAAAAATTCTGCTAGCAATTGACAAATGCTCAAGGTTAGATATTTTGCATGAAACATTGTTTAGTGAACCTCTAGCAAGATTGTTAAAATTTAAGCCCTGGGGTCAAAATTGCCCCCGCCCCGGGGGTCATTGATTTTCAATACATACATATAATAAAAAATCAAAAATCTTATTGTCTGAAGGTACAAGGCTTAGAGCTTTAATATTGTTAAATGATATCATCTATAGGTACTCTACCAAAGTTGTTCAAATTTTGCCTCTAGTGGCAAAATTAGCCCCGCCTCGGGGGCCATAGGTTTTCCTTATATGTATATAGTAAAAAATCATCTTCTCTAAATTTACAAAGGCTAAAGTTAAGATATTTTGCATGAAACATGTGTAGTGAACCTCTAGCAAGATTTACAAATTACAGCCCTGGGGTCAAAATTGGCCCCACCCCCAGGGGTCATTGACTTTCACTATGTACATATAGTAAAAAAATAAAAATCTTCTTGTCTGAAGGTACAAGGTTAAGAGCTTTGATATTTGGTATATAATATCATCTATGGGGCCCTCTACTTAAATTGTTTTTATAATGCCCCTAGTGTTAAAATTGACCTGCCCCAGAGGCGATAGTTTTCCTTATATGTATAAAGTAAAAACTTGAAAAATCTTCCTCTCTGAATTGACAAAGGCTAGAGGTTAAATATATGGCATGAGACTTTGCGAAGTGAACCTCTACCAAGATTGTTCAAATTATAGCCCTGGGGTCAAAACTGGTTCCGCCCCGGGGTCATTAATTTTCATTATGTACATATAGTAAAAAACATATTTTTGTCTGAAGGTACAAGGCATAGAGCTTTGATGTTTGCTATATAATATCATCTATAGGTCCTCTACCAAAGTTGTTCAAATTTTTCCCCTGGTGTCAAAAATGGTCCTGCCTGGGGGCAGTGATTCTCATAATGTACACATAATAAAAACAGAATCTATAACAAATGTTTTCTGAATGGGAGAAAGCTACAGCTTAGATATTTGACTTGAAATGTTGTTTGGTGGACCTGTATCAAGATTGTTTTGAATTAAACCCTTGGGTCAAATGTTT